TCTCTCTCTCTCTCTCTCTCTCTCTCTCTCTCTCTCTCTCCTCTCTCACTCTCTCTTTAAAAAAAATATATTGACTTGTCTAAAAGTGTAATAGAATTATAAACAAATGGAACTATGGTTTTCTGAAATCTAGTATAGTAGCTTGGTATTTTAATGAACTAAGGCGATTTTCTAGTACCTACGAAGATTTTTGAACTTTTTGATGATTGACTATTTTTGCATCTCTCTGGCACATTCCTAGCTACCTGGTTGGTTGGTTGGTTGGTTGGTTGGTTTTGCTGTAATGAGGATTGAACCCAGGGATTCTAGGCAATACTAGGGCAAGAGTTCTGCCACCGAGCTACATTCCCCAGCCCTCTCGCTGTCTGTTTTCTACGTGGATGCCTCTCATGACTCACACCAGCTCTATAAATTTCTGTAATAGCATTCATTAATGACTTAGTCTTTCTTGTCCTCTCGAAGATAGCTATCTCCTGACCTAATAGCTATTTATCATTTTGAATTAAAGAAGAAAATGGTTACATTACAGAATCTTTTTCCTCTTTGCAGCTTCTTCGTGATCACTTTAATTATAAACCAATTTTGACAAAAAAGCAATTTATTCAATGTGGGTTCGCAGAATGGAAAATCCAAATTACTTGTGATATTTTGAATTGTGTGATGAAGAAGCACAAGGAATTAAGTAGTCTTACCAAGGTAATTCTGTGAATAGATTTGGATGCTAACTTATGCTAAATGACCCAACATTTTAATGTATAAAATTAAGCCCCTATATAGCCAGTTGTTGCATAATACAATTATTACATTATTCACAGATTTGGGTAATCTTATAAAGCTTTATGTTTACTTTAAATACTAGTCATTTATTTTTATACACCTGTAACTTGGAACTGCTAGTCCTAAACCAACAGTTCAAAGATAATGCATTTTCTTCACTTCTTAGTTTTTAAAAGACATAGTTTCTAGAGTCTCATTATTTTTAGATATATTTATATATGAATATTTATATGATAGTGAAATTAAGTATACATTATTCTTTCACAGAAAATTTGTAATAAATTCCTTTTTTTTTTCTGGTACTGAACATTGAATCTAGGGGCCCTTTACCACTGAGCTATATTCCCAGATATTTTATTAAGACAGGTCTCACTAATTTGCTTAGGTTCTTGCTAAGTTGATGAGGTTGGCCTCAACTTTCAATCCTCCTGCTCTCAGTCTCCCAAGTCACTGAGATGAAAAATATGTGCCACCATGCCCAGCTGTAATTATGTCTAATATCATTTTGTTTCTAGACTCCATCACAACAAAGAAAGAAAAGCATTGCTGGTAAGTCAGAACCTTGTTCAAGCAATGAGAAAGCACTTTTAGAACCTGTCAGCATTGATGTCACGACTGGCAGGTTTCTGACTTCAGGAAAGGTATGAAAATATTTTAAAAAAATATCATATAATTTAATAAAGAGTTATCTGTATGGTGAATATGACATACATGATTCACTTCTCTCCCTGGCTATGGTGAAACTTTTGAGTCAAATACTACAATGTAGGGATGTTTACTTCATATACCAAATATTGTTTGGGAAAGTTCCTGAAGTTTTAAGAAGAGAATAGCAATGTAAAATCAAATAAGCCTTATATTTCTAGTTTCAAATTCTGCTTCATTTCCCAGATAAAATACTGGCAATTTAAAGTTACATTATGCAGTTATCTGCATCTACTCTTCATTATATGTATCTGTTCTTCCTAAAATGGGAACATATGAAGAATCCACCATTAATTATAGTGGAGGTTATGATGATAAATTTACATACATTGATGGTTTTACAATTAAGAGTATTGATTATCTAATGATTGATAATCTCCTAATTTGGAATTGGGTTTTGGTTGTTTTACATGTAGGTGTTTTTAATATTTTCTCTGTTTTGATATCAGTTTTTGACTACTTTTAGCATCTATGCCTAAGTGTATCCAGTATATTTAGAAGTATAGTTTTTCTATCTCCAAGAGATATTTAAACCAAAGTATTATTTTTTAATTATATATGTACTTTCAGCTGTCTTCTATCTGGCAAAAACTTTCTGAGATTGAAGGATAGTATCCCAGATGAATAGGTTCTTATGCTATGTCAGTAAAGGAATTCTAAGAGGCGTGGATTCTGAATAACTGCCCATAGTTTTCATCCATACACATCTCTAAGTCTTCTAACTCTTGTTAGTTTCTTATGATTTTCTGACTGTTAAATGATTTATATCATATATCCTTCCTTAACTAGAACATGAGTAAACAGGGATTTATATCACTTTTTTTTACCTTCACTGTGCTTTAGCACACTATTGGGCATATTTAATAAGTACTTATTACTTTGATATTAAATATGATTTGATATAATTAAATGTACTTTTCAATTTATTTCAGTGTGTAGGTTGAAGGGTAATCTAAATTATCCTAACAAAGAAAAATGTAAAATTTCAATACACTAGATTTGTTTTTTATTGTCTTAGTTTTCTTCATTATCTATCAAAATTTAATGATTTATGTCAGATCTTCAGTCTGACATAATTTATAATTAATCATCAGAAATTTGAATAAATATTAACATTCTAAGATTTAGAAAAGTTAGAATCTTAAGTACATTTCTTTGTTTATGGGCAAAATATGAATCTGTATTAAAGCAAATTATTTCTTTCACAGCACTTTATAAAGAATGCTATTCATGACTTTGTCACATATGTTAAGTTTGTATAGTGTATACACAAACTGTGGAAAGTAAGTAGGCAAAAGAGCCCTTTATAAATGCATTGTTGGACCTAGTTCTTCTTGTCAGAATTTTCCCTTTGCCATTATTAGGTTTTGATTGTTACCTGAAGGTGTAATATATTGTGACTTGTTAATTATACTTTTTAGTTTTAATAGTACAATTATCTACTAAAAATATGATTTTAACATGTGATCAATGTTTTAAAATTGAGCGATTTTTTTTTTCTTTTCTTGTGATAAGTCTCAAATACCCTGTGTTCTCTGTTGTTCTAGCACATGTTGATTTAGACTAGCCACATTAGACGGTGGTTACTATGTTGAATATCCCAGCTCTTTTAAAATAACATTTTATATTATGGAATACTTTAAACATTTGTAAAAGTACCCATTACCTCATTTCAAAAATTTACCAATTCTTTGCTAATCTAGTTTCACCTTTATTGCAATAACTCTTCCTGACATTTTCAAACAAATCTAAAGATCGTTCAATAAATATTTCAATTTTTTTCTAAAATAGAAATGTTTTAAAATAGAATGCTTTTAAAAATATGAACCACAGTTTCATGGTCACACATAAAATATTGTAACAATAATATTTTATAGTATTTTGATACATTATATTATATATGGCGATTTAAGATTTTTTTAAATCTTGAAAGGAAGATCAGGTATTCTTTTTGCAAAATGACCATGTGTTGTTTGAAATAACTATGGGAGTACAACCATTAAAGTATTTCTTACATATTTTTCTTATGCAGAAGAAAGCTGTGGTGATTCGTCACCTGTATAATGAAGATAATCTTGACATTCCTGAAGCTACAACAAGTCCAGTAGCAGATACTGATGAAGCATTTGATATGTTGAGCTTAAAGCCTTCTGAAATAAACATTCCTGAAGAAAATGTGCCTGAAATCAAGGATGAGCAAAAAGTAAGAATGTTAGACTTCTTTATCAAATGCCAGTATTTCTTTTGATAACCTTGACTGTTTCAGTGTTTAAACTTTGCCATATTTCTAGCCTTTTGAATTATTAATGATGGCATATTACTCATGTTATCATTATGTAGTAATCAGTCATACTAAATATCATTAAACTGATATTATTTGTTGTTGTGTTTAGGACTTTGGGCATATGTTTTGAGTAATGCAAAAAATAAGAAGACATCGTGTCAAGGGTGGAAGGGGAGAATGAAGTTCATTGGATTGGACAAAAGGGAATAAAGGGAATGGAGTGGGAATGGGACTAGGAAGGACAGTAGAATAAATGAGACATAAGTTTCCTAAGTTCATATATGAATACATGACTAGTGTAATTCCATATCTGGTGTAGCCACAAGAATGGGAATTTATACTCCGTGTATGTATAGTGTGTCAAATTATATTCTACTGTCATGTATATCTAAAAAGAACAAATAAAAAAATTTTAAAAATTTATAATCTAGTGAGATAAAATATACCACTTTGTACAGTGGAGTTTGCCTACTACATGTTTTCCTATATTGATGATTGGAAAAGCTTGGCACTTCATTGTCTTTTCATTTTCTTCTCTGGATCCATGCTATTTTTTTTTCTACTAGGTTACCATTTCTATTAGCCTTTATTGCCGTGGACCCTGTTATATACATGATCTCTACTGCTTTTGCTAAAATATCTGTTTCAATCCTTCATCTATGTCATACGATTTCTGTACATCTTAATATATAATTGGCATTTATAAAAAATACCAGATAGCCATTTGACTTATTTCCTGTTATATGGCACAGTGAATAATCTCAATGCACTTAATGTCATTTTGGTCATTTCCTCTTAGTTTTGTTTGTTAAAAGAAATTGTTAGTGGAAATTTTATTGTACCATCTGTATTATTTAAGGGCATTATGTAGATTCACTCACAGGAACCATGTTAATAGTTATTGTTGCTCTATTTTTTTAGATGGGAATGGAAACGTGAGATCTCATATTTGAGATGAACTAACTTAAATGTTCAAGTAGTCTCCTTCCAGTGATAGTTCTTTTGACTCTTACTGTACTGCCTCTCCTAACTATTGAAATAACATGGTGAAAATGGGAATACATTGACTTTAAAGGAATTTCAACTTATAAATTAATCTTTTTAATCATTTTAGGATGTAAAAGTTAACCTTGAGATTACTACACTACAGACCATGCTTGCTGAATGCCAAGAAAAGCTTAATAAGTTGCCTTCCATAGAGAAAAGGTTAGACTGTTTGGAAGAAGCAATGAAAGGAAAAGTGATGGTAGATGAAACGACCTGGACTAATCTTCTGAGTCGTGTCACTCTTCTTGAAACAGAATTGCTTTTGTCCAAAAAGGTATTTTTCCTTAGCATGTCTAGAATATCTCAGATATAATAAAGCATTTTTTTACTGTTAGGTGTGTTTTCTATTGGAAATTTAAATATGAGAGTATTTAGGTAATGAGAAAATGTTTACTTAGAATGAAGTTCTGTCTAAATATAGCCTGTTTTATCTGTGGCTATTATTTTTCTCTTTATCAAGTAGGATAATCTGGAAAACCTGTAAATTGAGCTCTAAGTTGTTAAAAATACTTAAATTACTTAAAATGAGGTAAGAATATGTTTGATTTTGTTTATAAAAAGTTTGAAATTAATCTCTTAATAGTACAATATTTGAAGAAGATGAAAAATCAACTCTTTTTTTACTTAATAACTTCTAATGTGAATTTCATAGAAATAACAACTGAACTTACCATTGTTGTATTGGAACTGAGAAATTGTTTCTATTATTTAGAATTCAATTCTGTTTCGTTTTTTCTTCATAGAAAATAAAGTTGGTAGATTCAAGAAGCTTAAATTTGCTTCTACATTTGAAAGATACTTCTAATGCCTACAAATACTTACATATTGCTTTGAAAATAAAATAATTTAAATTATTTAACATTGTTCTCTTTTAATACTTTATACATGGCAGTAAGAATATAAAATGAAAACATTTTTCTTTTCATTTTATTCTAAATGTTTATAACTATACTTTGCAGAATGAATATATAGACTTAAATGTAGTGAGTGAAGAATGTGCTTCTGGTAGTGATGTAGATCTTCAGACTCTTGGTAAGTCCCTAAATAGTATTATTATTGGTGGTATAACAAGGGATTTTCAGAAAAATAATTTTTATAGGTACTTGGTAATGTTAGTATTCTCAAGCCTTGTTTTTTAAAGAAAACACAAAGCTTCCAGAAAAAAATAATGAACCTAAATACTACTGAAACTAAGGATTGCTTGAGAAGCCAGTTTACATATCTCATGTAACATAGTTGGGTGAATAAATTCCAGTGTACATAGTTGCAAACCTTGGAGACATCTTGCTCTTTTTGTCACTCTAGATTAACAACATCGACCTTTAGCGTTTTTAATTTTTAAACTTTTGTAGCATTCTTGAATGCAAATAATATATGTAAAAGAAGAAAACATTTGTCAATAATCTGTGAAGTATTGAAAACTTTTTGCATTTGAATAGTTCACTGATAGCAGTAAAAGAAGAAAGATCTAAAATTAGTGACAGCAGTGACAGATCTTTCCCATGTCTCTTGCCTTCACAAAGATATTATCAGGGTGACTGAGCTGCATGGAGCAGCTTGGATAAAGATTTCTGTTTTTCAGCAACAGCTTTTTTTTTTTTTTGCTCTTTTTAAAATGTTTAAAAATGTGTTTTAATTAGTTTTACATTGCATCAACAACATTTTTATTCTTTTGATTCTTCCATTGTTCTTGAAAGACATGTTTTTATTTTGTGTCTATGATTAAATTGTATTTGTAGGAGAAATACTTCGTACAATTGAGAATTCATTGTGTAGTTAAATTTTAGTATATGTAAAGTTTAGTATATAGTATATAGTTTAGTATATAGTAAAATCTTTAGCTATTATATATATATAATAATAACAACAGTACATTACAGTGGTAACTGTGTGCCTGGCACAATTCTACCTATTATATTAACTGATTTAATTCTCAAAATAATTACCCAAGATAAATACTGTTATTACCGATATTTTATAGATTAAGAAACTAAGGTACAGTGAGATTGAGTAACCAAGGGTCACACAGTTATCGAATGATAGACAAATTTGAATGCATGCAATCAATTCTTTTCTCTTAACCACTACTTAATTAGTACACGTACCAATTTCTTTTTCTTTTTTTTAAGTGCCTTTATTTTTTAAATACATGACAGTGGAATGCATGACACTTCTTATTACACATACGGAACACAATTTTTCATATCTCTGTATATAAAGTATGTTCACACCAATTCATGTCTTCATACATGTACTTTGGATAATTATGTCCATCACATTCCACCATTATTGCTAACCCCCTGCCCCCTGCCTTCCCCTCCCACCCCTCTGCCCTATCTAGAGTTCGTCTATTCCTCCCATGCTCTCTCTCCCTACCCCACTATGAGTCAGTTACCTTATATCAGAGAAGACATTCGCCATTTGTTTTTTTGGGATTGGCTAACTTCACTTAGCATTATCTTCTCCAACATTATCCATTTACCTGCAAATGTCATGATTTTATTCTCTTTTTTTGCTGAGTAATATTTCATTGTGTATATATGCCACATTTTTAATCCATTCATCTACTGAAGGGCATTTAGGTTGGTTGTACAGTTCAGCTATTGTGAATTGTGCTGCTATAAACAGGCTGTATCCCTGTAGAATACTGTTTTTAAGTCCTTTGGGTATAGACCCAGGAGAGGGATAGCTGGGTCAAATGGTGGTTCTATTTCAAGTTTTCCAAGGAATCTCCATACTGCTTTCCATATTGGCTGCACTAATTTGCAGTCCCACCAGCAATGTATGAGTGTGCCTTTTTCCCCACATCCTCGCCAACACTTATTTATTTTTTTTTAAAGAGAGAGACAGAGAGAGAAGGAGAGACAGAGAGAGAGAGAGAGAGAGAGAGAGAATTTTAATATTTACTTTTTAGTTTTTGGTGGACACAACATCTTTGTTTGTATGTGGTGCTGAGGATCGAACCCTGGCCGCATGCATGCCGGGCGAGCGCGCTACCACTTGAGCCACATCCCCAGCCCTCACCAACACTTATTGTTGTTTGTCTTGATAATAGCTGCCATTCTGACTGGAGTGAGATGATTTCTTAAAGTAGTTTTGATGTGCATTTCTCTAATTGCTAGCGATGATGAACATTTTTTTAATATATTTATTGATTGATAGGATATCCTCTTCTGAGAAGTGTCTGTTCATGTCATTAGCCAGTTTATTGATTGGGTTATTTGTTTTTATGGTGTTTAGCTTTTTGAGTTCTTTATATACCTTAGAGATTAGTGCTCTGTCTGATGTGTGAGGAGTAAAAATTTGCTCCCAGGATGTAGGCTCTATTTACCTCACAGATTGTTTCTTTTGCTGAGAAGAAACATTTTAGTTTGAGTCCATCCCATTTATTGATTCTTGCTTTTAATTTTTGCACTATAGGAGTCTTAGTAAGGAAGTTGGGTCCTACTCCCACATGATGAAGATTAGGGCCTACTTTTTCTTCTGTTAGACGGAGAGACTCTGGTATAATCCCTACGTCCTTGATCCACTTTGAGTTGAGTTTTGTGCATGGTGAGAGATAGGGGTTTAATTTCATTTTGTTGCATATGGAGTTCCAATTTTCCCAGCACCATTTGTTAAAGAGGCTATCTTTTCTCCAATGTATGTTTTTTGCGCCTCTGTCCAATATAAGATAATTGTAATTTTGTGGGTTAGTCTCTCTGTCCTCTATTCTGTACCATTGGTCTACCAGTCTGTTTTGGTGCCAATACCATGTTGTTTTTGTTACTGTTGCTTTGTAGTATAGTTTAAGGTCTGGTATAGTGATGCCACCTGCTTCACTCTTCCTGCTTAGGATTCCTTTAGCTATTCTGGGTTTCTCATTTTTCCAGATGAATTTTATGATTGCTTTTTCTGTTTCTCTGAGGAATGCCATTGGGATTTTGATTGGAATCGCATTAAATCTGTGTAGTACTTTTGGTAGTATGGTCATTTTGATAATATTAATTCTGCCTATCTAAGAGCAAGGTAGATCTTTCCATCTTCTAAGGTTTTCTTTGATTTCTCTCTTTAGGGTTCTGTAGTTTTCATTGTATAGATCTTTCACTTCTTTCATTAAGTTGATTCTCAAGTTTTGCTTTTGAGGCTACTGTAAATGGGGTAGTTTTCCTCATTTCCCTCTCAGAGGATTTGTCACTGATATACAGAAATGCCTTTGATTTATGGATGTTGATTTTATAACCTTCTACTTTGCTGAATTCATTTATTAGTTCTAGAAGTTTTCTGGTGGAGCTTTTTGGGTCTTCTAGGTATAGAATCATATTGTCAGCAAATAGTACTAGTTTAAGTTTTTCTTTTCCTATACATATCCTTTTAATTTCTTTCCTCTAATTGCTCTGGCCAGTGTTTCAAGGACTATGTTAAATAGGAGTGGTGAAAGAGGGCATCCCTGTCTTGTTCCAGTTTTTGGAGGGAATGCTTTCAATTTTTCTCCATTTAGAATGATGTTGGCCAGGGGCTTAGTTTGGACAGCCTTTACGATGTTGAGATATGTTCCTGTTATTCCTAGTTTTTCTAGTGTTTTGAACATGAAGGGGTGCTATATTTTGTCAAATGCTTTTTCTGCATCTATTGAGATGATCATATGATTCTTATCTTTGAGTCTGTTGATGTGATGAATTACATTTATTGATTTCCTTATGTCTTATGTTGAACCAACCTTGCATCCCTGGGATGAATCCCACTTGATCATGGTGCACAATATTTTTGTTATGTTTTTGTATTCGATTTGCCAGAATTTTATTGAGAATTTTTGCATCTATGTGCATTAGAGATATTGGTCTAAAGTTTTCTTTCTTTGATGTCTTTGCCTGGTTTTGGTATAAGGGTGATATAGGCCTCATAGAGTGAGTTTGGAAGTGTTACCTCTTTTTCTATTCCCTGAAATAAATTGAAGAGTATTAGTATTAGTACTTCTTTAAAGGTCTTGTAGAACTCAGCTCTGTATCCATCTACTCTTGGGCTTTTCTTGGTTGATAGACTTTTGATGGCATCTGCTATTTCATTACTTGATATTGGTCTGTTTAAATTGTGTACATCTTCCTGATTCAATCTGGGCAAATTGTATGACTTAAGAAATTTGTCGATGCCACTTTATTTGATATGAGTATGGAAACCTCTGCTTGCTTCCATAGTCCATGTGAGTGGTGTGATTTTTTCCCAACCTTTCGACTTCAGTCTGTGTATGTCTTTTCCTATCAGATGAGTCTCCTGGAGGCAGCATATTGTTGGGTCCTTTTTTTAATCCAATCTGCTAACCTATGTTTTTTGATTGGTGAGTTTAAGCATTAACATTCAGTGTTACTATTGAGACATGGTTTGTTTTACCAGCCATATTTGTTTATTTTTGTTATCTAACTTGACTTGATATTCTTCTTTGATTAGTTTTTCCTTTAGTCTACTACCTCCCTCTGCTGATTTTCATTGTTGTTTTTTGTTTCCTCTTCATGGAATATTTTTCCAAGGATGTTTTGTAGTGTTGGTTTTCTAGCTATAAATTCTTTTAACTTTTGTTTAACGTGGAAGGTTTTTTCATCTTCAAATCCAAAGCTTAATTTTGCTGGATACAAGATTCTTGGTTGGCACCCGTTTTCTTTCAGAGCTTGATATATGTTGTTCCAGGGTCTTATAGATTTCAGGGTCTATGTTGAAAAATCTGCTGTTACCTTAATTGGTTTTCCCTATATGTAATCTGATTCCTTTCTCGTATGGCTTTTAAAATTCTCTCCTTATTCTATATATTGGGCATTTTCATTATAATGTTCCTGGGTGTGGATCTGTTGTGATTTTGTATATTTGGTGTCCTGTAGGTTTTTTGAATTTGGATTTCCAATTCATTCTTCATGTTTGAAAAGTTTTCTGATATTATTTCATTGAATATAGATTGTTCATTCCTTTGGTTTGGACCTCTATGCCTTCCTCTATTGCACTAACTCTTAAATTTGGTCTTTTTATGCTATCTCATATTTCTTGAATGTTCTGCTCTTGGTTTC